AGGTCGAGAGCACTTTCTTTCCGCAGGCGCCTGCTGTACTGTCGTACCAGGTTACTGCGGCTTCTGGTGCCGTGTCTTTCTGCCTTTCCTTGTCAAGCGCACCTCGCCCAATGCTCCTTTTCTCTCCGTCTCTTGCAGACCCTTCAGCTGTGCTGCCTCTGCTGCGTGTCCCATGCAGCCACTCTGACCGGTGACAGCATCAGGGAGTGGAGCCATGGTTTGTATAGCTCTGTCTGTGTCTGGGAACATGTGCGTGGATGCTGGTGGTGGTGGGCTGAGCACTTGGGGAGGACGGCACGGTGCTGGGGGAGCATGCAGTGAGAGCAGTCGGCTGCTGTGGAACTGCTCACCCTGGGCAGAGATTAACTTGTTAAGCCCCGTGCGCACAGGCGGAAAGGAAGAATTGGTACAGCGCAGCAATGAATGAGCTGGTGGATACATCCTCCTTTACACGTGCGATTAGGAGGGTGAGTGTTCACAGCCACAACAAAACCTCACGTGTCTGTTGTGGGAGCAGCGAGACAAAAGTGAAAAGGTTTGGGTGGGAGAGGGGCAGAACCGTGCAAGGCAGCTGAGGGGAAGGACTGGGGTGAGTGGGAGCTCAGGAGCCGTTTGTTCCCAGGTTGCAGAGACTAACACTTAGATGTTGATGACTTTAGGAAGTTTGAAGTGCAGTTTATGCTTTTTTATTGAGTGCGAGTGGAAGCAGAGTACAATAGAGAACCACAGCAGGGTGCAGCAAGGAGAACCCGCTTGCACCCGGTCTCTGCTCGCTGGGGGATTCCCTCTCCCCAGCAGCTGCCCGCAGTTTTTGGCCATCAGCCTGCTTGGTGTCCTCAGCTTCTGCCGCTGATTAACACCACTCGAGGAAAGTGAAAGCTCTTGATGTATTGTTTCCACTGTCTAAGGAAAAACAACCTGTCACTGGTAATGTTTTCAGCTTAATGTGTGTCCAATAAAGTCTATTTGGGCAAAGAGATTGATAGTTTTTGCAACATCTGTTACAACACAAGGAGGGGGTTTCCCGCTTTCTTAGCCATGTTATTTCAATTTAGGAAGAGAAGTGAATTGTTTTACTGTCAAGTGTGTGGACATCTTTAAGTATTCACTGAGAAATACAGCTCAGAAATGAAATGGGATTGGGAAGCAGTTTATTTGGCGTAGTTACTCACATAACCAGGAATGGGTGCAAAGATCCCAGTTCAGCAAAAATTCAGACCCAGCTTGCAGGCTACAGGTAATCCCTGTATGGCTGGATCAGCAGCTGTGGTAACGAACCTCAGGCTCGGCACCTGGCTGGGTCACAGCCTCTATTCTTTCATTTCTTAAGTGGCTGTGAGCAGGTCTGGGTCTTCTCACAAATGGTTTTGTAACTTTTCATGTATTTTATCCAAAACAATAAACTTCTTTGACATGCAATTAGCAATGGCCAACTAAAGGTGATTAGGTAGGATGTAATCTCCTTCTGCTGAAGGTCAGTTACAATTTGAAACCCAGTCTAATCAAGCCACTACAAAGAGATGAGGTCTCACTCAGTTAAGGCATTAATAAATTAATCCTTTAATCCATTTGAACAGTGGTACACTTCTACAAAGTCTCAGCCATGTTCCTCCTACAGTGCTACAATATTTGCTGCATTCTTAGGGCAGGAGAAAAGCTCTCAAACCAGCGTGGCCTTCACATTTGACAGCATTAATACGGGGGAGGGGAAAGCCTACAGACCTGCGGGTGATGACAAATGTCTTCAGAAGAGCGATTGTGGGAATGTTCACAGCTATGCTAGTTAGGCTGTTCCTCTCAGTGGGGCAGAAAGGAAACAAACACTGTTTGAGAGCCTGTGTGACTTACAGGGGTGAATGTACGCGGTCGAGCCTACGCACACACAGCCTGCAGCGCTTCCAGGCCGTTCCCTACGTGAGGGGATGCTTCGTGCCACAGCAGAAGCCTGACGCTTGCCGCGTTAGTGACGCTTACCTCGTTTGTTGGATGCGAACGCTGATGGCTACGTTTTTATCCTTGCAGATTATGTGTTTGTGACACCCGTCAAGGTGGATTCCAGTGGATCGTACGTTTCGCACGATGTCTTGCACAGTACTAGGAGGAAGAGATCAGCTCAGAGTTCAAAGAGTTCCTTGCACTACAAATTTTCAGCATTTGGACAGGAACTTCACTTAGAACTTAAACCTTCGACCATTTTAAGCAACAGTTTTGTTGTCCAGGTACTCGGGAAAGATGGAGTCTCAAATTCTCAGGAACATGAAGTTGAGCAGTGTTTCTACCAGGGATTTATAAGGAATGATAGCACCTCTTCCGTAGCAATATCTACATGTGTAGGCTTGGTAAGTGTGTATTTAAAAGAAATCAGCATTAGAAGTATTTTCATATGTGGAATAGTAGCTGAAGGTACATCATTCGTATAATCTTCAGGATACTGTACACCAACAGGCTGCCCAGGGAGGTGGTGGAGTCACCATCCCTGGATGTGTTTAAGAGACGGGTGGATGAGGTGCTGAAAGATACGGTTTAGTGGCGGACAGATACGGTTGGACTGGATGATCTCTAAGGTCTTTTCCAACCTAGTGATTCTATGATTCTATGATTTGGTGATGTTTCTAACACTGCTAGTAGCTGTTGTGTGTAACTGAAGAGGTTTAGTTGTAGCCCATGAGCTGCATCATGCCCTTTGTACTTTTTGATCACAGTCGTTCAGGAAAAAATCCAGAAGACTGGCTGGAAGTTCTAGTAATGATTCCATAGCAGTTTTCATTTGTTGCAGTTGGTGATAGCTAATACATTTTTGATTGTTCTTAAGTAAATGCTCTTCCTGCCTTTGTGAACTACTGTAAATAAGGAAAAAAGTCAATCCATAGGCTTGTGAGAAAAAAAAAATTAAACCTAGGTTTGTCAACCCCCTTAAGGAAGGGTGAATTTCCTAGCTCAGCAGGAGTTACACACCAATTTCCCTGCGTTTCCTTTGACGATTCCAGCCTTACTCGTGTTTATAAGTCTTGATTGGTTGATCTCTTGCGAAGGTGTTAAATATGATCATTGTGTATTTTCCATTTATGGCTGTCATCCAAGTTAGTGAACAATTATTACTCAAAAGTGATTTTTTTCAAAATACGTGTGACTGTTCATTGCCTGCAGGGGAGTCTTTACAGGTGTAATTCAGAAGAATCATCTACAACATTAATAGCTATTTACTATTTTTAGGCTTGAGCCCTTGCACTTGCAGAGCAGTCTCCTATGGATGCAGATTAAAGCAGTGACATTTAACAGTTAGGTGTATGCAGCTGTCTGTATGTTTTGTGGTTGAGGAAGGTCCAGAGGGTATGTCGGGTCATCCTCTAGAAATCTGTTTTGCAAAGGTACTTGTCCATAAGGGCTATTCAGCTGTGTGTGACCGGAGGAAAAAGGAGGAAAAAAGGAGCACTCGAGACACCAGCCTTTCCTTTGAGATAGTAATCAGTGGCTTGAGAAGGCTGCTCATTAGGAAGAGCTGTTGAGTACTGATAACCAGTTGAAGTAGTCTGGATTATATTTTGAATGCTCTACTTTTTTCCTGCACAAGTTAAAGGAATTAGTGTCTTGTAGTTCATTTGAAGGGTTGCAGACATCGTTGGAGCAGGTGCCAGGAACTGGAATGAAGCTGTCTTTTGTGTTTCAGGTTGTGTTTGTGGCGCTGAGCTGTTAATGTCGGATGTGCAAAGTTGTTTCTGTGGAAGCTTCGTCTTCACAACTGCTAGCTTTTACTGTATCTATTCAGGGAAAAAGCGATGTTTTCACTTAGTGGATGATTGTCTTTTCCACTAAGAGAAGTGCTCTACCTGCACACAACAGTTACAGTTTGGGTGAGCTCCCGTTTGGTCTCGTTTTGTTTGTTAATGCGCTTTATGAGTGACGGGAAATGGGCTTGTCAAGTCTTGCCTGGAGAAGGGAGATTCAAGTCTGCCTCAGGTCACAGAGAACAGAATGCGGTGATCTTAACTCAGACTGAAATGGATCTTTTACCACTGTCTTGACATTGCTGTGGCTGCAAAGCTTCACTTAGAAAAGGTCCAGAAGCTGACCACAAGAGAAGAAATATTGTGGCATGAACAAATTTATGATGGCAGAACCTTTTCCAGTTCCTAGATTGTCACCCATTAGAATCTCTCTTTAATCAGTTCCAAGGTTCAATAGACTTCACGTTAATGTAATCTTAACCAGTTGTTTTAACTGGTAAGTGAAGTAAACCTTTACTGACAACAATCCCCTGCAAAGCAGGGCCCACAAGTGAAGTATAATTGTTCCTCTCTCCCTATCCGTTGAACTTCAGTGCACCTAATGAATCCCAGGCAAATCATCAGCAGGATTCTTAGTCTGTCAGCTAGCAAGGCTGCTGCCTTAAAAATGTGCCATCAGCTGTCTGTAATGACAGCCACGTCATTTTAAACTGAGATCCAAATTCAGTAATCGTATTTTAAGTCTGGATGCTCTGCTCTGATCAAGAGAACGTTGTGAATAGCTTCTATATCCTCTTTGCACCAACTGCTTTTGTCACTTGGTTGCCCTTCTTTCCTATTTGCTTTGTTCACTGCAATTAAACCAAAAGTGGTGTTTCTTCTATATGGTTGGTAGCACTAATCTTTCCATTGTTCCTTTCATTAGCAATAGCTTCTCCACAGTAAAGCTGCAGTGACCCATTCTTTCAGGCCTGGAACACCACAATGTGATTTGGAAGCAATTGCATTTCAATAGACTACAGGGACTCTTTGATCTAATTTTTTGGATGACCTAGAGTATTCAGTCATTCAGCTGTCTGTTATCTGCCATTGCCTGCAGAGGGGACTTTTGAGAGGGTCTGTATGGAGTGGTTTGTTGGGCAGGATGACCTTAACACTGGAAAGGAGCAAGAATTTGTTGCTTTGGTATAGCTCTATTAAGAGATGTGTATATCTTACTCACATTTTAATAGCTTAGTTGACAGTAAGGCCCTAGATTTTTATGCTGATTTGATGGTTTGAGGCCAAATGTTGCCATCAGTTAACACCATTTTCTTGATGTGTCAGAAGGCAGAACTGGATCTATGCTGAGTAACTACTCTGATACATCAAGATACTGTTTTAGGAGTAAAAGTTTACTATGAGTACTCTCTTGCCTTTTCATCACCAAAATGTTTAGGTGCTTTGATTTTCAACAAGAAACTTGCTTTTTTCTGCCCTTTTCTTGCTTTAGTCTTTACTTGGTGGAGCATCTGCTATGCAGCAAGAAAGCTGTTTGGGGTTTTTAGTTAAACATTTCTTGCATACAAGATAGTTTAGCTCTCCCTCAGTTTCACCATCAGGCACTGAGTAGCAGCATCATAGTTCCTTGGCGATAGGAGTGTGACAGGTTTATTAAATTCAGGCTCATGTTGTACATCACACAGGCGTGTTATCAGAATGCTCCAAAGACTGATGTACTTTGTACACCTTCAGGAAAATGTGTTCTGGTCTGTCTGTGGAGAATGGTACCTTTCCTCCAAAGTTGTTAAATTATCCAAAATTATCAAGTTGTGATAATTTTTCTATTTTTGTATATTTTTTTTAGTGCATTCTCACTCTTGGGGGTGAGTTTTTTAACTCTTACAACTTTGGGTCAGTGAGTTCATTTATGCTGGTAAATACAAAACTAGTTTCTCTCTTTGGCATCATGTGGCCCAAATATAAATTCATTCATGTGGCCCAAATATAAATTAATCCAAAATTTTCAACTGCTTTCTCTACTGACATTCATTATTACTTTTAATAAAACTCTTCTGTTACTCCAGTGTGCCTTCTCAGAGTTTGCTTCAATCCCTTGTGCCCTCCCAATTGATACAGCCAGGCCACTGGTTTGTCTTGCTGCTCTGTTTACGTTCTCCAGGTCAAGCTGGTTGTTATTCCCACATTCAGTGTTTTTCCAAACTCCTCATTGTTTTTCTTAGTATCATTATTTCTTAATACATTAGTAATAATACTTGCCTTTAGCTATGTAATTGGGAGGTAGACAATGCCAAACCCCCAGAATGCAGGCGTTTTAGTTTTTCTGAAGGAGATAGTGCTGGCCACTGATAGAATAAGAAACTGGGTTTAGGATTTACTCAGTGTGGCCTGTTCTGTATTGCTGTCTCTCACCCACCTGTTGTACTCTCCCATCTGCATTAGAACCAGGTATCTATTGTAGGGTCACCATCTCTAACTCCACTTTCGTGATGGCATTGTCTCAAAGCCTTACGACTCTCTTCCCACTGTGTGTAAACTGTGGGTTGTCTGTCTCTCCTTATATGCAGGTGTTTGTTTTAGGTCTCCTGCGTGCTGCTTGTGTGCGGGCTGTGTGTGCAGACTCTCCTGTATAAAGTGAGTTGTTTGCAGTCACACAGTAAATCAGGGCAGCGCACCAGGGAACCCCAGCACTGGCAGAGGCCAGTTCCCTTCTAGGGACGTTCTGAAAAGTAATTTATAGGAGCAGAAGCCATGTTGCCCTGGTGAACAAGAACTCTCCTACAGAGTCCAACACGTTTCCGTTGTAGTCCAATAGACCACATAGAAAACAGTGAAATAATGAATGAGTAGTTTATTATATAGCATTTGTGGGGTGTTGCTGCTGTTTGGTGGCAGAGTCAGACGAGGGTATCTGGCAAGTACACAACATGCACCCAGCGAAAGAAACGTGCGTACAACAGGGGATCTCTCCTGCCATCACACCGCAGAGGAGACGCGTGTGTGTTTTGGGTCAGAGAAAAGCAGTACGCTTCCATGGGGCAGTTCAGGTCCTTTAAGACTGTTTGATTTCTGTTCTGGCCAAATTCAGCCCTAAGCAAGGCCGGAGAGGCTGCACCTGCTTACACTCGAGGTAGATGTGGGTTGTTCTCTCCCTTTCATGCACCTCAGTTAGCAGAGCAGAGTCGGCGTCACGCACCAGCTAGTGCCCTCCTTTGTTTTTGGTAAGATGTGATTGAATCTCTCACTACAAGGGGCCTCTTTCTCTTGTCTCAAGTTCTGTTATGTTTGTTAGTGTCTAGTCAAGGGAAGAGAAAGAGGAGGGAAGGATGAATCATGTTACACTCCCTGAGCTGTCAGAGGAGTCTGCGACTGGAGAAAGGGTTAGATGTAGTGCTGAGAGATAAACAGGAGATGTACTAATTCAGTGGAGGCTGTATGTGCATGTCTGAGGGCAGGACTTTGCTCAAAGTATCAAAGAAGCCACAAAATTAAAGCTTAATGCAGTCTGGCCACCTAAGAGGCAGGCAGGCACGGCAACTCATGTACCCATTCTTTGTAGTCGTTTAATTGCACCCTGTATTAGCATTATTTAAGTTGATGCTAACAACGGCCTC